ACAGTGCCTTTATTTTGTTTTTTATTCAGATTTTTCCATTTTATCATTTAAAAAACAATTTGAAAACAAATGATAAAATATAAATATACGAACGATTTTAGCATTTCATTGCTGTCAAGAAAATAGTTTTTTAGCACCTTACCATCGTCATAGTATATGCACACGTACATATGTACATCGTATGGTATACATTTATATAAGTATAAATATACACTGGTATATGTGTATGTGTTTATTTGTGTGTGTATGTCTATGTGTGTGTGATATATGTGTGTGTGTTTAGAAGGCATACAAATCATATATAAACGAATTATTTTATCTTAAATTTTAAAAAAGTGATCAACTTATTGGTCGGTTGGTCGTTTAAAACTGAAATTATTTTTTCATATGAAAGAAAAAAATATAAATCTTAGAGTCAGACAAACATACATGCATTTAGTTATAATATATTATTACATCAAATGAGATCATAGTTAATGTTGTTGCTAGCATTATTATCGATGTTATTAATGTTATCATCATTATTATCGTTGTTATGAATGTGATTTTGTGTGTGTATATAAATTCGTTTATATATGGTTCTAATAAAATGGTTATGAAATGATTTTATTGATTTTTATATCAAATTAATTTTCAATTTCATTATCACAGAAATTCGCTAAGTAATATTAATGAGTGGTCATTGGCGCCAATGAGGAGTTATTATTTTTAATATTAATGAGTTAATAAGCAATTATGTTAATGAGAAGTCATTAATATTAAGTAGTTAATAAGCAAGTAGTTAAAAAGCAATTATGTTAATGAGAAGTCATTAATATTAACAAGTTAATAAGCAGTTATGTTGATGAGAAGTCATTATTAATGATATATTTTTATTTGACATTAATGTAATGTAATTGACGTTGGCGAATTCAACCAATATACATTTAAAACTTCGCTTATGGATTCGCGTCGATTTTATTCTTAAATATTCATTGTTTATGAATTAAATAAGATTTAAATAAATACTCTTGCTATATGTGCAATATATTTTTTAACAGTCAATCAAATGGGTAGCTTTTTCTATGGATAATCTTTTATCATTTTATACATTCAACTAGAAAATAGCAATACCAAATCATTAATCTCTCTTCTCCAACTGCGCCATTAACTATCTACTTTCTTTAAGAAAAAAATTGTGTACACCTAACCTCGTGAAAAAAAGTTTAGTTAGGTAAGGTATCTTCATTTCTCATTCGCTGACTCGCACTACCGTTCTGTCTCGTTTCTGTTAGTTTTCGAGATATTCAAGGTGGATGTTCTTTTTATAAATCCTCATTCGCGACGATTATAGTTTATCGATTTGTAACCGTAAAAAGTTTAACGAGACGCTGCTATTTCCGAAACGAAATTTCATTCCTATGTTCGTTGACTTGATAGGTGTGTATAATTATTTTTCGACTTTTCAGTATCATTGAAATTGTAAGGGCCAGAAGAATTTTTATTGATCCGAAAATTAACTTTCTTTGGACGACGACGGATCAAGGAGTGTTATAACTGAAGTACTAGGACTTGGTAATTGAAATTCAGTGTACTTCTAAAACTATCGTTAAAATGGTGTGTGCGTGCGTGTGTATGTGTGTGTGTGTGTGTGAGATAGAGAGAGGAAGTGTGTGTGTAAGTTTTTATACGTGTATGTGTATATAATGATGTATACATACATTTATATTATGTACTAAAGACAGATTATGTTTTTCGTATTTTTAAAAATTTGTAAAAAAATGAGGAACGTAATGCGTGGAGAGGTGCACATGTTAAATGAAATTAATATATTTGTGAAGATTAATTTATATAATTTACATACAAAATGAAAACAACCGACCTTAAAAATGAAATTAACACATTCGACCGAATGAATTATACGTGAGAATATAACGAAGGGTTGCTTGCAAATGAGAAACACGTTATGAATGTAAGAACATTAAAACAGAGTCGCTAGAAAATTCACTTTCAGCTGCAACAAGCGCATCCGTCTCCACCGTTGGATCTGTAGAGAGCGTGACAGCGAATGGCTTCGTTCAGGATAGCCCAGCATTCCGGATTGTCGAACAACCAGCTGACCTTTTCTACCTTGCAGACCAAACACTCTGGAGATATGTGCATCAGTCGCACGCAGTTACGAAGCATCTTTGGTGCCAGAACGATCCTCTCTTTACGATTGTAGTCAATCCAGTAAGCCATGGCACAGAAGACATCCAATTCTGAAGAGACGTGCAGTCTGTCGTCCGATAGTAAAGACATTAATCGTTCCGGGTGCAACCAGAGGAAGTGCTTTGTCTCACAGATTTCTAAAAAGTTCTCGAGGATGTAGTTGTAGATGGGATCTCTTATTTCGAACATGCTATAGTGGTCTGCTAGTACGTAATGAAAGATTGCATTCTCAGGGTGATTGCACAGGAGGAATTTCTTGCAGGCCTCTTTAACGGGGTACATATCTAACAGTTGAGATAGTTCTAGTAACGGTGCAATATACTCATCTTCGATCTGCCTCTCTGAATCAACGTACAAAATGTTAAGAAATAATATCACAGAGTTCACGTTGTACTCGTGTAGATCAACATTTATGATTTCCTGATCGGAGAACTTTTTAAAATTTTCGAGGACTCTCTCACTGTAGGCTGACAAAACGACCTTGTGGGCTTTCACCGTACCATCGCAACATTTGAAGACGACATCGCACATCTTCTGCTCGAGCCAGAGCATGCAGATGTGGTTTCCGACCGTCGTGCACCTGTCCTCGTCCATGACACACTGCACCGGCTTGTTGCATGGCGGACACGAATCCACGTATGGGTGGGCTCTGGCTCGACCGATAGTGGCATCGTATCGGTATTTTGCAGGTTCAGAGCTTATAAAATATTCACTCCTAGTAACTTTGGTTTCGTCACCCGATTCTTTTTTTCCTTTGTCTTTCTTTTCTCTCTCTCGTTCTTTGGACATGGGAATGCCTTATTAACTGGATCCACTAGATGCAATCCTGCGCGGAGGTGGGAATTTTTGTTTATTTCCAAAAATTAATTTTTTAAATTAATTAATAAAAGTTCAAATGGAATAAGTTCTGCAGACACTTGGAATTTTTTGCATAGAAACCGGCCTGGCGAACGTCACACAAAAATAAGTTTTAAACCTCACACATTACGCTGGTAGACTTTTTTTTATCAAATTTAATAATTAAAATATTAATCGAAAGCTTATATTCACAAATTTCAAATGTGAGGTAAACAAATGAATGTTTCAAATGTCCTCAAAATCTCTGGTAGAATTGTTAAAAGCAAGTTTTTTGTTTAACGTTTTGGGTTTTGTTACAATGATTTTTTAAAAGCATTAAGTCATTTTTTATAAAAAAAATTGAAAATCCCAAGAGCAAACTCATTAAGATTAAACGATTGCATACAAAAAACTGAAACCTAGCTAGCTAGCATGAACATGAACACCTGATCTTAAGCTGATAACTCACGTAATTAAAAGAAATTCATAAAAAAACAGGCCCCAAAATCAACCTTCAAGAGCAGCCGTGAGAGTCTATATTATTTCGATTTGAACCATACGACAATTTTTTGTACTTTTTCATGGAAAACGATATAACTTCAGCTATTCAGATGAGTTCCTTCATCAACGGTGTCGACCGCCTAGTGCCTGATGTTCAAATGCGCGGTTCCGATCTTCAATTTATTAAATTAATCTACTTTTCTTATTTAATTTCATTCGTATGTTTTGATTTCTTTATGACGTAAACAAATGATGATGAATGCATAGAGTTCTTTGGGGAGGTGTTCTCTTTTCATTACATTTGCTCGATTTTATATGTACATTTAAACGAAAAATCATTTAAAGATTTATGTTGATTTTACACGTGTCCCATTTGTATTTTCACAACTTTCTTGCTGTGGATTTTATGTTTAAATATCGTATTAGTAGATTTTGGTCTGTTAAATGTATACTGCTTTTGTCAAATACTGATCTTATTTAATTAATGAAACCATATGATCTTCGAAAAAAAATTATTAGTGATAGTGTAAACTAGAAAGATATGAACTATGAGCATATGTCCGTACTTCAATGATTATTGAAATCACTGATGTACTTATAATTATAACTATTCGAACTCATGCTTATTCTAGTTACGCGAACTCATACTCACGTTTTAAACGTGTTTTAACCTAATTCACTTTTAGTTATTTTTAATTAAAAGTAAACCGAAGCATATAATAACAAAAAGGTAACACATATTTGGGTAGAAATAAGCATGTTCTCCCGGACATTTTGCTCTTCTGTTATCCGGTATATGACGTCATCGTCGCCAACATTGGTGTCATCATTTCTTACAAGTAAAGTGCCAACAGAATGTTTTATTCCACGTCTGCCACGAATTATTATCATTAGTAGTAGTAGCAGCACATCATTTTCTTTTTTTAATGAAACAAACTTAGTTTCGATTTCAACATTTTCAACAAGTTCCACCAACAGCAAAATTTATAATGTCGAAAATATAGATAATGAAAACACTAACAACAATAATGATAATGATAAGAGAATAAAAAATATTACTAATATAATTTTATCAAATTCTTCTGCAACTGAGCCATCATCATCAATAAATGTTGACGAAGAAATGTTGAGGTATGATTATGAAGAATATGAAGAAGTTGATAGCGAAGATGCCGATGATGAACATAATGTTTATCCCCAGGCTATCCCTGATTATATGACAAAAAGTTCATTAAAATTTTTTCATTAATATTTAAATTAATTATTAAATAAACATTATTAACCATATTTCTTTTCTTAGCATATACAAAGTTTTAAAACAATACTTGCTTATTTAAAATTACAAACTCAAAAATCAAAAATTAAATTTAAAATTCTTCCACTCTACTTAGTACCTATTTTATTATTTATTATACAAAAGGAGGTACAACTGGAGTATTCGATATTGAAGATTTACGCAAATTATTAGAAGACGAGAGAGCTCTGGACGTCATCTGCATACCTGTACCCCCACAATGTAGGTACTGCGACTATCTAGTCATCCTAACTGGAAAGTCCTACAGGCATCTAAGAGCTATGGCAGAAAAAATTAAAAAATTAGTATGCAGTTTATAATTAGTTAATTATTTAATTTAATTAGTTCTTTAATTGGGCCATTTATTAATTTAAAAAATAAATTATATTATATTGTTTTTTCACAGTTCAAGACGAAGAGAAGTTCACATGACCCAGAAAGTGTAAACATTGAGGGTTTGCAGGCTGCTGATTGGCTGGCTCTTGACATGGGTTTCTCTGATTTATTTTAATATTTAAAAATTCATAAATTTTGTTTACATACTTTTTTCATCTTAAAATGTTTAGCACTTTCTATTTAGATAAAATAAATTTGTCATTTGAACCATATTTGTGAAATTAATTCAAATTCATAATTCCAGGTAATATTGTTGTCCATCTTTTCCTCGAAGAAACAAGAAAGAAATACAATTTAGAAGAGCTATGGACAGTTGGGCCCGAACTAGATAGCCATTGTATCCAGGAGAGGGCCGAATTAGAGGGCATCAGGAATAAATTAGGGGTTGGTAGGGCGACCGTAATTGCTAATGGGCATAAGATATCTCCAAGTGATTTTTCCTTTGATGAGGAGTTAGAAAGAATAAAAAAGTTGAGATTGGCAGAGAAATTAGAGGGAGAGAAAGAAAAATGTTGAAAATTATTTTAGTGATTTTTTGCCCTAGTTATAATAATATAATATTTCTAGTATTTATATTTTTATTTGATTGTTCCCCAGATAAAATATCAAAACAAAATACTTTTTTTGGAAAATATTTCAATCTAATAATGACAAAAACAGAAATCATAAGAATCTAACTGACCATCAAAACAATGACACCCTCGTGTAATGCAAACGGTTTCAACAAGTAGTAAAATATTCATTTAGCTTTTCATTTCATACAAACAAATGAACATGACTGTAACATCACACAATCTACATCATAATTTGCTGATGTCTTAAAATATATATCCGTGTATATATATATATATATGTATGTGTGTGTGTGTGTGTGTGTGTGTGTATATATTTATACGTACAATTCACAAATCAGAGAGGATCATTTTCGACAGACATCAGCAGAGAAGTAGTAGTTTTGTATCAACAAGGTAATAGTAACAAAAACGGCATTTAAATTTTTAAATAAATTAACAAGTACCAATAAAATTATTTCATCAAACAATGAAAATGTAATAAGATTGCACATGCAAGTGCACACATTAACATCCCACAAGATAATTGCACACACTAGCACATACTCGCACACATACACACGCATAGACAAACAGAGAGAACAAACTCCAATAAATATAAATTATAGAATCCTATGACTAAAGTATTCATCGGGAAACTCCACCCTGTGACTGCCCTGGCTCTTGACAAAGGGTAACGTCCCAGCATTTGGAATGATGTTCCATGATAATGTCAAGGTCACGTTCTTGTTGCCCCTTGTGGTTTTAAATGTATTGGTCTTAATACTTTCAATTTAAAGAATAAGTATTGTTGATTTTAAACTCTTAAAGTCATTATTAATGTAGAGTATATAAAAAGTCAATAAATTCAATTAGGATAAAGATTAAATATAATTAAATTTAAAACTAAATGAATAGATTAAAAGTTTTTTCATTAATTGAGACAATAGTTAGCCTACCTCAGGCCATGTCCATCATCAAAGAAGTAATATTTGGCCTTGATATCTTTGTAATCCAAGATGGCAGAGTCACCTCTCTTTAATATTTTATCCCAGATCACAACTTGATTGATTTTCTGGAAGAAGTTAATGTACATGTATCAGAAATGTAAAGTTCTATGTACAGAAGATGGAGTAGACCAAATTCTATACATAAATACATATGAAGTAATACCTATTTATGAATATCATTAAATTTAAATAGAAAACAATAAAAAATTTTTTGGAATTAAAAACAAATTACATTATTTGGTGTCTCATACTCGGCAGTCAGAAAAATGAATAGCTGTTTGACATTCCAGTTGAAAATTTTTGTCATTTCTGTCGCGAATATTAAAAAAACAAGTGAAAATTTTTCAGTAACACAAACAAACCAAATCACTTTTGCTTTTATTTTAGAATAATAATTAAATTAATTAATTAGATAACATGATAATACATGGGCTATTATGCAAGAGAAACATTTTTAAATGTATTATCCTTATTAATTCAACCTTATTACTGTTTGAATTTGATTGATCATTCATTTATAATTCAATTTGTAGATTACAAAACTTGCTTTTATGACATACCTGCCTCAATATCGAAGTTGAGGAACCCTAGGTCATTTTTTTCTCGTGTGGCAGCATAATCTGGAACGTTCTTGCTAATGGGTGGTGCAATCAAAACTCATTTTTGATGATTAAAAAGGCGAATAAAAGTAAATAAAAGATAAAAAGTTTAATAAATCAGAAAAATAAAAAATACTAACACGAGAGCCTTGGTGGAAACAATTTTAACATCTGTTAGGTTGGTATTGAAGGTGGTCGAGAAAAAGCAGCCGAACGTCAAAACGGCCAAAGCAGACAAAGTAAATGCAAAGATCGCATTAGCTCTCGACAGGACCGAATTCATTTCTTCTTTCACTAAATTCAAACTACCGACAAAACCTCGACTTGATTATTTTAGATTTAAAAATGAAGTTAAGTTGAAACACCGGATGTTGTCGTGTATTAAAAACAAATAAATGTTGAACAGCGTAAAAAATGATTAAGCATACTTAGTAAGTGTATATCCTATACCAGTAACATGAATCCGAAATTCTCATAATAAAAGTGGGAAAGACGTCAAAAAATTTAACTTTTGAACAACAGAAGCAAACAAAACGTTAAATTTCACATAAATAAATAAAATAACACAGTTAAACAATAAGTGTATGATAGTTTGAAAGTAATTCTTCTCCTTGGAAGATATCCCTTGTGGAAATCAACAAAATGGTTCTGTAAAAATAGAAAAAATGAACAAATTTTTATTTATAGAGTATTTTTACAGAAAGATTTTAAAAAATTTCAATAGAAACAACCTATAAGGAAGGACTTGTCCTGAGTAATAACAATTTGGAATGAATGACAGCAAATCTTTAGGAAACTTTTCTGAGAATGTATGTTCTTGATAAGAAACATTCTGGTCACCTAAATCATGTTTCAAAATAATAATAATGATATCCACACGAAGTATTAAAAAGTTACAAAATGACAACTTGTTAAAGTACAGTTGTTAATGTATTGTCCAATAGCCAGAGGATTAATTGGGTGTTTATCCATCCAGGTAACATCTATTGAGAATTTCAAATCAAAACCATCTCGTTTAGAACACGATCTATTTTAAATTCAATCATAAAAACTATTTTGAATGAAGATTTTGAATGTATATTAGTGTTATACTAATCCGAATAATTCAGTAGGTAAATGCGAAAACAAGTTAATTTGTTTTTGAATTAACAACCTGAACAGAATTTTAGATAAACCAAAGTCCTTGCCATCAATTAGAGTACCATCCTCGCATCTGAATATGTACTGGTTGCCAATGGATGGCAGAAATATAGGCTCTCCTGGATTATATATAAGACCTTGAAAATATTTTAATAACACACATTTCTTCAACTCTACCAACAGCATATAAAATTTCAGAAAACCTGGATAGAGAGCCACTATAGATCCCGAATTTATCTTTCCTGACGAAACAAACACGCCAACACCTCCACCTTCTATTCTGCTTTCACTTCTACACAGTCTAAAACCAAATTTATTTTCAATTTTTCCAGAAATTATGTCATTTACTGATTTTTTACAATCTGTTTTATGATACTGGCGATAATGTTCTCGCGATATCTCAAATAGGTACTTCAAATTTCCATCGACACTCAACGCATCTAGCTTTCTAGGTTGTTTGCTTGATTCTAAAACAAACCTATCGTCAATTAATAAACAAAATCATTATAATTAACATTCAAATTTATATTTTTTTTGTTGAAGTAAAATGTTATTCATAAAGTTCTTAAAATTTTGAACAATCCAGCCACCAACTTGCCTTTCTTTGAAGCTAATTTGAAGCCAAGGAACAAATCGACGTTTGTAATTTGCCCACCACTTCATTCTTTTCTTAGTCATGCACTTTAATTGTGAAATATCATTGAACTGAATTGATAAATTGATTAGAAAAAGATTTCAAATGTTCCAATTAAAAGTCTTTTAGTTTTAGCTTTTTGTTATTTGTGGTAGCTTTCTGTTGAGACCCAAACGTACGATAGCAATATATTGGATTTATGACATACTATGTGGTCATATATGAAGTATTAAATAATTAATTCATACACATAAATTTATCATTAATAAGTATTTATGTAAATAATTTTTTTTCATTATCTTGATTGATAAAAATTGTGAAAATCAGACAAATTTAAACTTTGAAGCTAACAAAAACTCAAACGTTTTCCATATTTCGGCTGAAACAACAATATCAATTTAATGTGTAAAAGAAGTCCGCGAAATTGAGCTATTTAAAATAATTAAAAACCCAAAATGGAACTTGAGAATTTACTGCCATGCCGGTCAAAACAGATTGACCTGATCTGTGCTTATTTGGATGAGGTTGTCGTCTGTTGTCAGTTGTGTTATGTTGTTCTTGGGTTTTGTTCTTTTTTTGTCCTACTGAGTTTTGTCAACTACTCAACCTTCTACTACTTACCTCTCTATCTCTACTCTATTATTCTACTACTACTTACTACTCTACTACAACTACTCCACTACAACTACTCCACTACAACTACTTAACTTTAACAACATTAAGTAACTTAACTAAATCATGCCAGTCACAATCGATCACAACACAGTCATCGGTGATTACTGGAATGACAATGACCTTACCTACCTACCTAGCAATTTATGACATTATCTAATTTAAATTTCATAATATAAAATAAACTGAAGCAAAGCATCTGTTTCGTCTTTCTAGTACCCATCACCAGTTTTACCTAGTATGTTTGTGTATGGTCTGCCAGCAACAGGCAAGTCATCTGTCATCAAATGCCTTGTTCCCTATTTGAAAGTTGGTTTAGTAAAGATAAAGTAATTTAACTAATTATTGTTTATGTGTTCAACAATGATGCATAGTAATTACAACATATATTTTATTCACTGTTTTCAATGAGTTTAAATTTTTAATTTATTCACAAATTAATTATTAAAATTTATTCACATGAATTAAAATTTATACTCCAACAACAGCATAGATACATAAATGTCAACTGCATAGAATGTTACACACCCCGCCTTATTTATGAATGCATATTAGGACAGCTGGACCCATCGTTCTCGGGTAGATGTGACAATCCAAGTAAATTTGTTGATATGTTGAAAGAGACTATTATTACAACATGTGGCTCTGATCACAGCATCTATATTGTTAGTGTCACATGAGAAAATTGTATTTAATGCTTGATTTTTTTATATAAATTAATAAATAAATAATTGATTTAAATATAATATTAATTAAATTATTAATTAATATAAATTAATTAATATAAACTAATTAATTAATAAATAATTAATGAATTGCAGCATTTCGAGAAATGTGAAAGGTTAAGAGAGGTGCATCCATTAATGCTGCCCATGTTTTTGAAGCTGCAAGAATTAGTTAAGTTATTTTTTTTTAATTTTGTCTTTGTTTAATCTTTATATTTTTTTTTGTTTCTGA